TGTGTGTGTGTGTGTGTGTGTGTGTGTGTGTGTGTGTGTGTGTGTGCACTACACTTCATTTAGCACTGCTCCACGGGGGAGCCAGGGGAAATCACCGAAACACAGAAAGAGAATAAACAAACAAATCAAAAGCATTAAACCAAGCAAACACAACATAGGAGGCTTTTTTTTAGGGACCGTTAAACCTCAATTATCCACCTCAAATTAAATGTGTTCTTTGGTAGACTCCCCATTATGCAGGGAGGTATGAACATGGTAAGCACTAGTTGCAGCACCGGTTGCAGAAGAGTATAAACAAACTGGCTGCCAATAACAGATGAAGTGGATCTCAAATATAATCTTTTCTTATTGTACTGCTTTCCATTTTCATAGGGAGTGGAGAAAGTGTGTTGCTTCCTCAAAATAGAAGTTCCTCTAAATGTACCCTCCAATGCTTTTAGGCTAATTCCAATTTTTCCACTGTAAGCCATCTACCTTAATATGTGTGCCAACATCTTAACGCTTTCAGTCTATATTTATATGACCGCACCGACCATCTTACAGCTGCAGGCACTCAGTCGTTAGATGATCCAATTAGATGATACAAGCTTCTACAGAGCTCAGAGAAGGTACAAGTCCAACAGATCTACTGGCGTTACAAGGGGCCTTTTCCTTTTAGTAAAGGGACTTTACAGATTACAGATTTGGAGACAACAAACACAGATGACATTGCACGAGCCCAAATACATTCAAATATGAAAGTAGACATGAACAAATGTCTCTGCTTAGGCTGGGGTTGTAATAATTTAAACAGCTTTAACAAATTGCTACTTTTTTTTATCATTTTAAAGAAATAGAGAAATTCTTATGTTCTTGACTTAAGCTAAAGCATGATGTTTCACTTAAATTAACCACAAAGTGTTGTTGCCTCAACATAACCAATATGTTTTGTTGTAATTTACAACGTTAATCACATGTTTAAAATACTGCTAGCGTAATCCAGGAGAAAATACATTTCCCTTGAAATGCAATTAAGAATCTGGTTTAGTTGTTATGGGAATGTAATTTTGCAGGAGAAAGGGATGCACACGATGTACACCGTCGACACAGGAAACAAAAGAGAGTTCTACAATCACACAACATTCATTGGGCTGATAGGTCTGTTAGGATCCACTGTATTTGGAGCTTGATACAAGTCAGGACAACTTGGCCTCTGCTACATCGATTTTAACTATTTTTAAAATTAGTTTCTCACAACTCACACAACTATATCTCTGGAGTGCCCCTTACTATTTTATTGTTGGCTTTGCAGGACCAATTATTTGTCAAGTTAGCAAACAACATATTACTAGCCACTAGTAAAACTAGTCTCTACTTATTGGCCTTTTTCAGCTTGTATGCAAATGTGAAAAATACTAAAGGTTGAGCAAACATACTATGTTTACCTGTCTAAACACTATGCCAAGCTGTCATTCTGTCTATGGTTACCTATATGTAAGAACAATATTGAGAAGCCAAGTTGATGGGGTATACCTCATCATAAGGTCTGACAGTTTATGAGGGGATAACTGTTTCTTTTCTCTATAGTTGTTCATAACTAAGTGTTTTCTCTGCCATTATATCTGAGCTTATTCAGTTGTTAAATTAACCATATAAGAAAATGTCTTACATCTATGCAAATGTCAGTCATATCAGTAGGTTTATGATATAGTATTTTGATAAAGAGAATTCTTGTGTTAAATACATTAATCTAAATATCTTGTATCTTTTCAAATCCTTAAAAGAATAATCAATAACTCACACCCCAATACTATAACTTACATACAGTGTATGTCCAAAACAACATGGTTTAGTAGCTGTAGTGCACTTCTCATTTCTGCAGCTTGTAAGATCTACTGTAATTGGAGCACCTAACGACTGAGCCCCTGCAGCCGTGAGATCGGTGGGGGGAGTCAGAGTTGCTCTTTTGCACACTGAGGGAGTCTTGAGGCTTTTCTTCACAACGGTGTCAAAACGGCGTGGAACAGTTTTGGGAGTGCATCTCACACTGTTGAAAACACCTGATAGGATTTTCACTAGAAACCTCTTCATCCATCAGCAGCTCTTTAGAAAGCTTTTATGTTGGACTCTGTATTGTGGAGCTCAACTGGAAATCTCTGTGCATATGGATACAATATTCCAGCTTGACATTTCAATTGAATGGATAGAAAACCACTGTAGAAATTGTAAAGGTTAGACTAAAAAGAAAGGCAAGAAAAGTCCCCAATGCTTCTGGGTGGTTTGTAGATATTGAGGATGTAGAAAGGAGGTGATAGAAATCATAAAATCAGCAGGCACTATTGTACCAGAAGCTAAGGGGGCAAGGCTAAAGGCCTCATTAAAACCATTCAAATCCATTGGTTGTGAAAGCGATAAAGTGGCCACATATTGGCAAACTATTGTCAGCAAACTCAACACAGTGCAATCTTTATTTTCCCAGAGTTTCATCATTTCTTTCACTGCCAACACCTTTTACCTTTCAAACCAAACAAAGAAATGACTGCTAATAGACTTTGAATGAAACGGCCTGCAACACTGACACGATTACGTTGCACCAGAACATCTGAATCCCTTGCTCTCTTGTTCCTTATTGGTAGTCTATATGCAGATTATGCAATTTATTGCCACAACCTATGACGTAAATGAAACGAGATTAAAAGAGTGATTTAAACTAAAACGGGAGATTTTTTTCATTTTGGTCAGCACGGGGGAAATGCTGAACCCGTGTAAACAAGTGCAGGAAACAAGATATCTCCGTATATCTGAGTACCACACTCACTTTTTGTCATTCTCCTAATGGGCCGTTACACTGGTTTTCTGCTCCCCCACTTTCACCCTCTGTTTTTGACTGTCACCATGATTACATAATGATGAGCTGAGACGGATTTGAATCTATTCTCCAGAGACGAGGATGTTCTCATCCTTTGACTCCGGTCAATTATCCTTTTTTTTTTTTAATGTAATCAGTACTCATCTGAATCAAATTACAACAAAGGGAGATCAAGATCCGCCTTTTTTCCCCCAGTAAATTATAGACAATGACAAAGTTTCAGCAGAAATGTGGGATGAATTCACTGGAATTAATTTGAATTTGTCATCATCACTGTCACACTTGCGTAGGCACTCTAACACTCAGAAGCTGAGCTCGATCTGTTAGAAGTGAAGTTTGAAGAGGCTCCCTTTGGATTTTTTTGAGGCCCCGCCTAATATCCAATTAGGCGGGGAGTAGGAAAAAGCTTTATCCCATTTGTAAAAAGAATCACTTAGAACCAAAACAGCATTTATTATTAATGCAGAGGTGCCTGATCCCAATTTGCCATGCAACCGTCCCTCCTGTTCCACAATGCATTAATTTACTAATTAAAAAGTTTTTCATTGCAGCTATAAAGAATTGTCTGCTAGTCAAGACGGAAACAACTCAACATAGATTTTAAATATTTCATTAGAGCAAACGGTAACCACCTCATCAGTGCAGTCAAAAAATTTAAACAAGTTAGGTGGACCAACAATTGAAAGCAGCTGCAGCACATGCCGTGATTGTGATGAGCGGATCAGCTGCTCGCCACTGGGCCATGCATAGCTGAGTGTCCTTGCTGATCTGTTGCAAAGCCCAATTCACTGTATACAGTGTGTGTGTGTGTGTGTGTGTGTGTGTGTGTGTGCGGTCATCCTCTAATCTATATACTTGCGCTCTGTATAACTTCATGATTGTTACCTGTTGGCTGATTACAGCAATGTTTATTCTTCTGCTTGTTGGCAAATAATCCCTTCAATATATCCTCACTGGCTTCATTAACTTCTACGTTTCTAATCAAGATAAGGGGAATTACACCGAGGCAACAAAACAATACAAACACACATAGGAGCACTGCAAACAAAGCCCATGTTCTTGCAATTCAGTTATCAATGTGTAAACTTATCACATTATGTTTTTATGACCATGTGCACCCTTGGCATCAATCTCCAGTAATATGCTATTTTTACTTCCAAAAAAAAGGACCTACAAGTATTCTTTCTGTGACTGTGTGTACATGCCTCAATTCCCCAATGTGAAAAATGAAATTGAGGGGTATATGCTAGTTGTTGTGTCTGTGTTGATGGATGTGAGTATAAACGCAATAGTTGAAATGTAGTAAAGGGAAAAAAAAAGAGCTGTGCAGCTGAATCTGGCAGCAGAGACTCTGTGATCAACATTCTATTTTTCAATTCCAGATTGGCTGACTTCTCTGTATGCTTCTTCGCTGCCTGTGGTGCAGATGACGTCGCGTCAGCAACAGCCTGAATAATGTGTGAACGCTGTGTTCAAGGTAGACGGCTCATCAAGATAAGTGACAAGTGCCGGGGCAGGAATTTCACCAGTGGAGGGGAAGGAGTTGGAAGGGCTACTAAATTCTCTTTGCTGAGATGAAACGTTACACACGATAGCTCTAATGTCACATCTCAGCACTTTGAATCTTGTTGAACCTGAAATTGAGTGGAACCTCTGCACACCAGTGAGATTTAGATGTGGGGGTGGCTGTGTTGCAGGGTTGAAGTTTAGGTTGGCAGAAAAGGAGCACCAACCATGCAGGATTCCTGGTGTTGCTACAGTACATATGCTGCACAGTGTATTAACAGCATATCATGTCTAATTATGAGCCATAATCTTGTTTTGAGCACAACTGCCAAAAAATAATTCAGTGAGAGCTGAAAGGCACCGAAGGACTTTATGGAATATGGACATAATTCTCTAAATTTGTATGGTGATAAAGGTGCTATATTCCAAATTTAGAGCGTATCAGCTAATGGGGCTAACAGTGGAAACAGTGTTAACCTGGGGCGACACCGTGGTTCGGGACGGCGTTATAGGCCGCACACACATGCTCCATAATTAACACACACATGCTCCACAGAGAAGCTTGGATTACAACACCAGCCTTTTCTCATTAAGGCGTCAATTCCCGACGCTTGCCCCTCGGTGTCTATCTCTTTTTGAAACTAGTCAAAGACCAAGGCAGAGTTTTTGCTCTTCAGAAACCTATGGGTGTCTATGGATTTAGACAGAAGGTGAATGCAGGTATATTCAGACAGACAGTATGAGAAAAATAATGTTTCTGAACATTAAAACATGTTCTATCAAAGACCCAAAATACAAGTACAAACCTAAAAATTGAATTCAGCCAGCTGCCAGGCAATTATCGGGACTCTATTGAACGCATTCATGTTGAGACATTGAAGTACAAAACTCTTCACTAAGGACAATTACTGTGCTTGATCAAATATAATGTTCAAAATGGGTGTGAGCAGGCAACAGAAGAAACTTACCAACATAGGAAAGCCGAAATACAAAGACACTTTTTCTAAAAGAATATAGAAAATAATAGTCAAATAAAGATGTCAGTCACAGATTGGCCTTTTTCAATGCATTTTGGCTTCAGGCGAAATTACATGAAAATTGACCAATTAACAGAATCAGGAATGACAGCAGATTTCCTTGGGCTTATTCCCTTCGCCTGCGCTAATGTCAACTAAATAGCCATCATCACGTCTGCTAATGAATGTTTAGTTGTAAGGGTTTGATTGGCTCTGGCACCATGTTTTGATGAGATGTAATGTTAGGTGCACTTTTGTTGCTCCAGCAAATGTGAAACACCAATTAGCCACGTTTTAATGATGGAGAGTGGGTTTATTTTAGCACAAAAGTCCAGTGGCATGCTCCGCCTGAAATATAAAAGCTGTCTGTCAGAGCACAAGGAAATGAGATACTAAAAGCAAGGGGAGGACAGACTAAGACGGGCTAATTAGCTGACACCTCTTGCCTTCAAACAAAGTATTTTTTCACATTTCCACAGTAAATCCACAACAGGTGCTTTGTTTGGGGGCACATGGCTGTGTTAGCGTGTGTTTCTGTCCATGATGTTAGGACATGGATTTATTAGATGGACAGAAATGATATGACTTCTGTAGTGAGCAAAACAGTGTTGTTATTCCTACTGCCATACTGAAAACAGTGCCTGTCAGTGTTATCAATCCTGCGTGTCAAGAGCTACTAGAAAGACAGTTGGCTTAAATGAATCAAATATAATGCAGGAGCATGCTTCTTGTCTCTCAAAATGCTATATGCATTCTCCAGCAGCAGAATATATGCCCCTCACAGCATGCTAGTAGCTCTTCGTTGTGTGGTCCTGTTTTCAAAATGAAACCCTGTGATCATTAGTTATCTTTTTTTTTTTTTTTAACTTCACAAACCTAATTTATTAACTAAGCAGTCATCATTATGGTTATTCCAGGCGGGACAGCCTCTCAAGGCGATGCAAATAAGTGAAGGGCAAATACTGAAGCTGGAGTATTTAAAATACGACATGTATAATTAATGACGACGTCTGTGAAATATAGTGTGGATTCGATGGGTGGAAGTTTATTAAACTGCAGTTTTACACAGAAGCTAAGAAGTGCCCTTTAATAGTGTGTCTTCTAGACTTGTGCACAAATCTGGGCTTTACAATAACTACATTAGAAGATATTTTTCCCCTATGTTTTTTATTGGAAATCAGTATTGTACAAATGAAAAATAGGAGTTGGGTTCAAAAATTGCCTTTCGCTTTTTTTTGGTGTGATAAAACAGAAATAAAACAATTCCTTCCTCTAACCCAGCAAAAAGTAATAAAATAAAATGGGAAGGGAAGTAATATATAAAGGATGTTAAAGGTGCTTACTTCACAGAACAGATGCACTGAGAATCATTTGGGGTCCAGAGAGGTTAAAGTATTTACATATGAGATTTTTTGTAGAAACTGGCAAAATACGCTGTTAAGGAATATTTCACCTTTTTCTAATGAAAGAAAAGACATCAAATCATTGAGCCAAGTTGTAGTAGGAGGCGGATTTGTGCTTTTCTACTGTTACACAATATGTCTTCCGTCTGAGTGAGGCAAAGGCAGCAGCATCATCTTTCTCAGACTGGCAGGAATAAAGGGTACCCCAAAGACATTTAACGTATTAAAGAAACAAGACCAGAATTCAGCTAAAGAGAAAAACATACTATGATCCGCCAGCGACGAGCCACATCCACCACAGGTATCACTTGTACCAGGAAACAATCGCATTTGAACTTATGTGAAAACTGTCAAAACATTGTCCCCTCTGAAAAGGGCATCGAGTTAAAATCAAAAAATGCCACTCAGGTATACCATTAAACTGTTACTAATCTCTTCTCTTCGGCAGATAAATGAGAGGGAATGACAAGGAAATCAAATCGGGAAAGCCACATAAATGGTTCCTGTCGAAATTGCCTGTCCGTGTGACACGAGGTGTCCGTGTGACACGTGGCTCGACAGGCCGTCAGGTGTGAATGCTTTGAGTTGTGGTCATGGCGCATCTGTAATTTGGATCAAGGTTGACTCCCGTGAATTAGCATCCGTCAGCTTTATTGACAGCAACACCACTAGAGGCTTGAGAGCGCAGGTTACTGACAACGATGCTGATGGCCACTTGTGTCTGACTGTGGCACATTGTGTTCCCGTCTTATCTGACTTAGCTGAAGTTGTCTCTTTACAAGTGTGACACAGAACCCTCTGCAAGTGAACAACCACAGAGATGCTTCACACATCAGTGGTTCCTGGACCGCAAGTCCCATAACGCTCCACTGACAGTTCGTTATAGTCTGCTGACTTTTGGTTCGGCTGTTGCATTTAAAGAACGCGGGAAACTAGAGTTTGGATATGTGAAATTGCTCTAAACTAGTAAATAACTTAGACAGGCACGGAATGCTGCTCTAGATAAATGCATATTGTGACGGAAATCATCTTCTAGCCTATTGCAACGTGTGAGAATTTGTACAAGTACTGTAAATAGAACAACCTGTCCAAGGGCAACATAGCTCTGCTTTTTGTCACTAAACTCACAAGAGAAAGACGGAGTGTGTGGGGGATGGGCGGCCAAATACAGAAACAATGAAGTGGAACAAATCCAACAGGCGCACGCTTTATCTCGTTCCCTTCGCCTTCCCTGGCTTTTTTCCATTTTTGCTATCTTTCTCTATCTTAATGAGCACCACGGCTCTCTATCGAGGGATGGTGCCAGTGTGATACATCACAGGCAGGACACATGCAAGGGGGAACGAGGACAGGACTGTAGCAGGGTGACAGTGATGCTGGCAGAGCGATTAAGAGTGCTTAGACAGGCATGCGGATTCACAGAGTGCGAGCAAAAGAGCACCATCATGCTCGGGCAAGTGGCAGATGCACCCATCATCTCCTCAAGATGAAAATGGAAAAAGGACTTCATATTGTATAAGACTTATAATTAGGTGTTTTGAAGCAGACACAGACCTGAAGTCATAACCACCTGAGAGGATTCCATTTCAGTTGAGTTTAAGCTGAAAGCCCAAGTCAACACAAATGGCAATTCTGTCTAAAAAGACATACATACTGCATGCTGCTAACCCCCTCACAAATCCAACCCAGAAAAACTGAGATGAATGGGCTGAAAGATAGACGGCAAAATCAATATTATTTGAAAAATCTACAATCAAACATGCATATAGTGGTTTTAAATGGCTTTCTACAGTAACTTTACTCACCAGATGGTTTGCTTACACACAACCATCAGAAAAGCCGTCATCAGAAACTGTTTGGAAAAGGGCAGGCACTTTCAAAAAATACGTGGCAGTTCACTGGATGAGACGTCTGTCAATAAAACTCTCGCCGAAGTGAGTCGCAAGACGAGCGAAAACATCTGTTCAAAAAGGAAAAGCCTTCAGTGTAGTTCTTTGCTCTTCTTTCAATGATAAAAAACACTCCAGTTCTGATATAACTGATGCTATTGCAGCATCTACCTTAACCTCTTTAGTAGACATCATTGTTCTTTTGAGTTTTAAGTCTATGTAGTGCTTGAAAAACAATCCACAGTTGTCGCTAAAGCTACACTATTATTCATGTTTTCAACAGGGAGGAAAAGGTAAAGTCAACTTCTAGTAGTGGATAATTCAAAAGAGTTCTCTTTGGACTTGAATCAAGGCGGTAACGAGACTCGAGTACTACAGACCAGGTCTGTGTGTAGTATCACATGACCTTTCTCCACTGATCCCCAACTACTGAATACTAACAATGTGCTCGACACCTTTTTTGAGAAGCAGTTAAATCTTTTTAAGAGTGACATCGGCAGGCTTATGTTCCTCCCACTGAGCACATCTCTACTCAAAGGGTTGGTTGTAATTGCTCTTCGGCATGAGTTAAAATGCCTGGTCATGAAGGCAGTCTGCATGGAGAGCCGGTGGCGCGGTTAGAACCACTTACTGTGCAAAGTCAGAGAGCTCACTTGCATAACA